GAAGGAAAATTGGGTATTTGAAAGTATGTTTGAAAAAGAAAAAATCTGTTGTAAGTATGGAAATTAGGAGAAGGGTAAGGGACTTGGTAAAACTATTTTCTAGAATTGTTTTTATCATGAAAGTTGGAAAAAGGGGTAATGAAAAGAAAAGAAAAATGAATCGCTTATAGCGTTGAATGAAATGGTTGTTTTTTAGAAATGTTCATAATTATGTATATTTTTGTATAAACTGCCACATTAGTATTCTAGTGTGAGATTGAGCATTCACGATCATAGCTATCTGTAAGTTGTTATTGTTGAGGATTGTGTTGAGATCTCTACTGGACTATATGTTCATCCCACGTTGTTGAATCTTTTTTAGGTGATAGTCAGGATGTGCTACGGGATTTGGATCTTCTTATTTGTTGGTCACGAGACCTCTTTTGTGTTGGCGGAGTGCCATTGTTGTAAAAGGGTTACACCCTTCTTTTGATTCTTTAATGATTGTAAGCCTACGGGCAGTTTATTTAGAATGCTCATGTTGTATGTAATTTGCATTCGAATGAGAGAATTACTATTTAATTCTACTAGTCGAATATTTAAGTTTATTTCCGCATGTTGTCTCTGAACTTGAAGTGAATTAATGGATTCGGTAATGATTTCGAGTAATAAAAAGTGGGGCGTGACAAGTTCTGAATGATGTTTTCTCTGCGTCTTCTACTTTAACCTTTAACTGATGATAACCAGATCGAAGATCAATTTTAGAGAACACCTTAGCTTCTTGGAGTTGGTCAAACAAATCATTTATTTGAGGTAATGGATATTTATTTTTAATGGTCACCTTGTTCAGTTCCCGATAGTCAATACAGAGTCTCAAGGATCCGTCTTTCTTTTTGACAAATAACACTAGAGCACCCCAAGGTGAGGTACTCGGACGAATGAATTTCTTGTCTAAGAGTTCCTGAAGTTGGACTTTTAGTTCTTTCAATTTAGAAGTCGATATCCTATACGGAGTCTTGGAGATGGGTTGTGTTCTAGGTAATACATCAATGGTGAATTCTATTTCCGTATCAGTTAAATCCTCGGGTAGATCATTGGGAAATACATCAGGAAAATCACAAACCATAGGAATAGTTTCGACACTAGAACCGTCCGAAGGCACAGACAACACGCTACACAAATAGCCCCAACACCCCCTTTTTAACAACCTTTTGGCTTTCATAAATGAAATCAAATATGGCGGAGGGACTACCCCATTTCCAGTAAAACTAAACTCGGGCATATCGGGTGGACGAAACATGACAGATTTATTCACAAAATCAATGGTGGCACCGTATTTAGTCAACCAATCCATACCCAGAATACAATCAAAATAATCGATGTTCAAGGGAGAAGGAGTTTTTAAAGAACAAGGAGTTTGTTTCCCACATTTATTTTGAAGTTTCAGTGCTAAAGGAGCAACACTCCTCTACCTCACAACTTTAAGCTCAACTCTTACATAGGAAGGCAGAATTGGGGAAGGAGCTAGTAATAGTTAATCTAGCTTTAGAGCAGAATGCAAAGAGGATGCATACTTCACACCAGGGTATATCAAGCCGCAAGAAGGAGATGAATACTGCCATACAACTGTTCACAACACTTCAAAACAGAGAGCTTATTGTAAGGGAATAGTTGAAACATTGTAATAAACTTTGGGCCAATTTGTGGCACAATGTACTTAAATTTTTATGAAATGAAATATTATTATTTTACACAAGTGTTTTTTTATCTTTACTTAATGTTTCTATATAGTATCTCAAACTCCATGTACCTCCCATATAGTTGGGTAATAAGGTTTCAAATACTTGTCATTAATTTTCTTGGGATGCACATATCCATTTAAAATTTTCAAATGATAGGCTCCTCTAGGCAAGACTGTATGGATTTGGTATAGTCCCTCCCAATTAGGTAATCATTTGCCAAACTTGTGGCTCTTGATTCCTATTGGAAGTAGGGCTACAAACGAGCTAAGCTGAGTCGAACTTTTGAATGTTCAAGTTCATTTATTAAGAATTAGTCGAGCTTGGCTCGTCAAATATTTGTTGAACTTGAGCGAGCTTGATTACATAAACGAGCCGAGTTCGAGTTAGAGCTCGAGCTCGAGCTTGAAAAAAAAAACTAAATTAATTTACTTATTAAGATAAAAAAAAATACAAAAAAAATATATATAATTATTATATTTTTAATAAATAATATATTATTTTATACCATGCATAACACGAGTGACATGCTAGTAATTAAATTGTTTGAATTATTAATTGAAATATATTTCTAACATCATTAAAAACTGTTAAAAGGCTTGATGATTTATTGATAAAAGAACCCATTTGTTATGAAATTAGAAGCTTCAAAGGACATAATATAATTTCTAAAATTATAGAAAATAATTTATATTTTAAACAAATTTTAGAAAGTATATTTACAATTTAACCTTTGTTTTTAACATCTTGTCGCTTAACATTTCTGCTTTGAAGTTGATGTACAAAATATGCATATCACTAGGTGAGAAAATTGTTTGATTTATATAACCTTTTTTCCTCTTTTTTCCATTCTTTTAATGGTTTTCATAATTTTTTATTTTTATTTTTTTTTCATCGAAGTACAGAGATAGTGATAGTGTGACAATACTGTTTAATGCAACTTGTTATCAGTCCAAAGTTAATAATAAAAAAACAAAAAAATGTTAGGGACTCTGAGGCGTTGTTTGGTTTGTTTTTCAGAAAAAATTTTGGAAAAAATTCTCTTAAATTTTTAAGAGTAATCAAATCAAACAAATTTTTTCAAAAAAAATCTCAAAATTTTGTTTGGTTACCTACTTTCCAAAATCACTTTCTCTCTCATACACATCAAATCAATCACTTTTTTTAAAACTCTCTTCCCAAAATAATTTTCTAAAACCATTTCTGAAAAAAGATAAACCAAACAAGTTTTCGTACTTTTTATCTCAAAAACTACTCTACAAACACAAACCAAATGTTCTACCAAATGTTTCACATGGGGGTAGGACCCACATGTGGGTTCTATGTGGATCCCACACACATATGAGACATTTGATAAAACATTTAGGGTGTGTTTGATTGGGGAGATAAGGGGGGGATTATTTACTGTGCGGATTACAAATCCAATCCGATGTTTATTTTTTTTTTTAGTCTACCAGACATAGAGTCCGGCCGGACTCCTTATCCCCATATGGGGGATTATACTATCCTAGGGGGGTGGGACAATTTTGGAAGGATTATTTACTGTTGGGATTAGGTGGTGAAATAACCATTTTGACTCTCTACTATTTAATTATGTATTATATTTAGTAAAATTCAATAAAATTTAAATTTCTCAATTTAAAAATAAAATAATTTTATTTAACTTTTTATTGATGTTTTATTTATTTTTTTAAATAATTTTTTATAGATATTTTATTGATGTTTTATTTTAAAATTTTGTTTATATTTTATTTAATTTCATTATTTAAATGTTAATAGATGTTTTATTTAATTTCATTGTTTAGTTATTATTATTTTTAAAAACAAATTTATTTAAAATTTTAATTAAAAAATAATATAATTTTTTATTGATATTTTATTTATTTATTTATTTTTAAAAAAATAAATTTATTTAATTGTGTAAAAAATAAAATAAAATAAATTTTTATTTAATCTGGCTAAAAATAATTAAAATATAAAACATACGTTTAATATTACTATTACTTAGTAAACAATTAAAAAATGGTAAAATAATTTTTTGTTCATTTATCCTATCTAGTCCGTCTAACCAAACGTTTGATTCACTAAAAATAGTCCTTTCCAGACATCTAATCCCATGAAAAACACAAACACAAGATACATATCCAATCCAACCAAATAGTCCGGGGGATTCACAGCCCCAGGACTCAAGTCCGATGGATTCTAATCTCTCCTTATCCAGTCTGTCCAATCAAACACACCCTTAGGGTTCCTAATAATACTCAAAAAAATAAGGATTAATTACCTAAAAGTCCTATCTACATATTTGGTGGTAACTTAGGTCCTATTAAAAAGTTTTTGAACCAATAAATCCCATTTAGAGGTAAAAAGACGTTTGCCCTTTAATCCCCAAACTGAGAATGTTCTCAATTTATAATTATCAAAATTAAGAAAATTTTCAATTTTTTTCTAGTATGAACTAAGAATATTATCAAAACTAAGAAATTTATAATTATCAATTTTGAGAAATTTCTCAATTTTTTTCATGATTAAAATTGAGAATGTTATAAACTGATAAGGTTCTCAATTTCAAAAAAACCTTATATCTCTCTTTTTTTCTCTCTCTAATGGCAGTGTCGTGGCATCTGTGATGGAAAGCAGATCAGGTCGAAGCCCAACGGTTCAAACTCTATTATTCTTTTGAAACAACCAAACCAACGATTAACTCAAAATAAAATTGAAAAACGGCAGTTATTCCTGAGATAACTTTGGGATCGTCAGGCAAGAAGATGCTGGTGATCGGAACGGGAATAGGTTGTTACCCTCCTGTTGGTTTAGAAGCCACCAAATCTGCTATTCTTGAAGCCATCAGAGTTGGTTACCGCCACTTCGACATCGCCTTCATTTATGGTTCTGAGCAGCCTCTAGGCGAGGCTATCACTTAGGAATGGCAACGGGGAGGGGCGGGGCCGGGGATCACCCTCCCCGTCCCCGATCCCCGATGATAAGAATGTCCTCGGCCCCGGCCCCGATCCCCGATGGGGAACCTATTACCATCCCCATCCCCGTCCCCTAATGGGGATCGGGTTTCCCCGACCCCGAAAATTCCTTGGATCAAAAAAAAAAAAAAAAACAACAACAACAACAACTATTCAAACAACATCATCAACAACAATATCATCAAACAACATCAACAACACACAAATTTGAGTAAAGAGAGGTAGATCTAAGTAGAGAGAGAGATAGATCTAGCTGTAATCTAATATATATATATGTGTGTGTATATATAACACAGAGAAAGAGATGCGGAAAGGTCGGGCGGCGGAAGAGATCGCGGAGGAAGGCAGCGAAGGAGATCGGCATGACGGCAGAGGAGGGCGGTGGAGGAGTGGCGCTGTGAGATCGGAGCGGCGCTGTGAGATCGGCGGTGGAGGAGCGGCGCTGTCAGATCGGCGGAGGAGGGGCGCTGTGAGATCGGCGCTGTGAGATCGGCTCTTCTCTCTCTCTCCTCATTTTTCTCACGCAAAATGAAGCTGTGTGTGAGGGGAGAGAGGATCTGAGATGAGAGAGAGATAGATCTGAGATGAGGGAGATGAGAGGTGTGTTCTGGTTTTCGGATTGTGAGATGAGTTCTGAGATAATAGAGAGAGAAAGAGAGAGGAGAGTATATATTATATGAGTACATATATAATATTATATTATATTAGGTTTATTATTATTTATGTTGAGCATAGAAAGTAGTTGGTTCTAGTCAACACAGAGTATAGATATAATATAATATTATATTATATTAGATGAGTGTATTATTTTAGATTTGAAATTAGAGAGGGAGAGGGAGGCGGGGAGAAACAACGGGGAACGGGGCCGGGATCGGGCCGGGGCCGGGGCCGGGGCCGGGGCCGGGGCCGGAACACTTATCCCCGTCCCCGGCCCGAAAATGAGTGGGGATTTTTTTTTTAATACTATCCCCGGCCCGTCGGGGGTATTTTTCGGGGAAACACCGTGTTAATCGGGGTCGGGAGTTGGGTCCCCATCGGGCCGGGTTTAAATTGCCATCTCTATTGTCACTAAAGCTCTTCGTCTCGGCCTCGTCAAGAAGAAGGTTGATAGGTCAATAAGGGAGAAAAGAAGCCCGCTGAGAAGAAGCCGGCGGAGAAGAAGAAGAGCATCGTCGCCAAGAAAGCTCCGATGGAGAAGAAGCTGAAGGCGGGGAAGAAGCTGCCCAAGGAGGGCAGAGCAGCTGCCGGAGACAAGAAGAAGAAGAGGACGAAGAAGAGCGTTGAGACCTACAAGATCTACATCTTCAAGGTGTTGAAGCAGGTTCATCCGGACATCGGGATCTCGAGCAAGGCCATGGGGATCATGAACAGCTTCATCAACGACATCTTCGAGAAGCTCGCTCAGGAAGCCTCGAGGCTCGCTAGGTATAACAAGAAGCCTACCATTACCTCTCGGGAGATCCAGACTGCGGTGAGGTTGGTGTTGCCTGGTGAATTGGCCAAGCACGCGGTGTCTGAGGGTACGAAGGCCGTGACTAAATTTACCAGTTCTTGAATTTTGGGGATTGGGGCGGTTTTCTACGGTTTGTTGAAATTTGGTAATAGAAATTAGGGTTAGGGTTTTGTTTTAGTACTCCTTATCTGCTATTGTTATGATGTCTTTTGGTTTTCAATCAAATGGTTATGTGTAAAGTATTGGTGCTGCATTCAGGAATGAAAATGCTTTTACTTTATGTTGTCTTTGTTTCTCTTTGTATCAACGTCGTTGGCTTTATAATTCAATGTTTCTTGTTTGGAAAAATTACTGATTTTGGGGAAATAATTCAGGTTGAATAGAGTGAAGTTTGTATAAGAAATTGTTAGGTTTATGTTTCAGTTCTTCAAAACCCACTCCTTCAAATTATGTGAACGTGTAGGAAAGATGTGATCTTGAAGTGAAGAAGCAAAAGTGATTTTGTAATGGAGATGATATTGTGGTTGCTCTTGTTGGTTTAAAATGCTAAAATATCTCACCCAAGGGTTGGTCCAAGTTATGATCTGTGATACTTCAAACTAAAGTTGGAAGTTGACTTCAAAAAGATGTCTTTACATGGCTTTAGGTATCTTGCATTGCTTATTATTCTTGCTCCACAATAGGGTTATTTTATTTGATGAAAATGCATCCAACCAACTCTAGGAAAAGAAAAAGTGAAGAAGCATCTTGGGACAGTTGATGAGAAATTTTAAAACAGAACAATCTTGGTGTGGCAGGTACCATTGGTCCCCCACTCCTTTTACTCTACGTTATGGTTTTTGCTTTATTAATTTGTTGAAGTTTCTGGAAATTGCAGAAGGATTCTGCAAAGGTTTATCTGTTTTGATGTTGTGCTGGGGTGACTTTTTTCTTATTTGGTTTAATGTTGTGTAGAATATTTTCCTGGTTGGGTTTAATATGTTATCTCCTTTCATTTAGATGTTTTTGGTTCTGGAAACAGGGAATTGAGCATGTTTCAATAGACCATTATGTGATGATTTATGTAATTTGTAAATTAAATATACTTGGAAGTTTTTTATTTGTTTATTTTTTAATTTTGGATATCTTCACGTTGCAATATGTTGTGATAAATATGCACGGAAAGGGAAAATTGTATTGGATTTTGATTACATTTGTATGAAGCTTTAAGTATTTATTTTGCGTGGCATTTCTGGCATTGGTACCAATACTAGTCAGCCGTATGTAGAGGATTGATGCTTAATTTTTTTAATAGTTTTGAAGGAATTTGTTTAGCAAGCAAGCAGGTTGTCTAGAGTTATTTTCTTTAAGATTATAATACACTTTCTTCGGTTAATTAGTTGGAAAGGAATAGGGTTAAGTCCTCCGAACTTGCAACTTAGAGTTCTTTCTTTTTATCATCTTTTGTGATGTTGCCTTGAGTGGAGGAAGAGGGGCTTGCTGGTTAAATGAATAAGATACCTGCGTTTGCTCAGTTCCTGCCCTATCCTTTACTTCTCTTGTCCAGTTGTCTTCCTCTGCTCAATTATATATATATATATATATATATATTTAATCACACTCCAGTACAAGAGAAAGCATCTTTGGCAACTAAAAAAGCACATTTGGTCGCTAAAAGTTTATATTTTAGCGACAAAAAAAGCATTAGTAGCCAAAGACTAAAAAAATTTAGTAGCCAAAAATATAGGTTTTGGCTACTAAAAATCTATTTGGTTGCCCATATATGGCTTTTGCCGACTAAAAAAAAATTAGTAGCCAAAAGTGAGGTATTGGGTGACTAAAAAGATGTTTGGTCGCCAAAAATGAGGCTTTTACCGACTAAAAAAATTTTAGTAGCCAAAAGTGAGATTTTTTGGCGACTAAAAAAAGTTAGTAGCCAAAACTGAGGCATTGGGAGACAAAAGATGTTTAGTAGCCAAAAGTGAAACTTTTTGGCGACTAAAAAGAAGTTTAGTCACCAAAAGTAGTAATTTTAGCCTGAGAATTAAATTTTTTAACGACTAAAAAATAATTAGTAGCCAAAAGTATAGAATTGGTGACAAAAATTATGTTTAGTCGTCAAAAGTGGTCTCTTTTTTTTTCTAGTAAATAATTTATTTTTACATAAATTATGTTCAATAAAAAATAATTATCTTTATATATATACTTTTATATTAATACGGGTCTATGTACTATATAAATAATATATATTGCATATATAATCATATGGTGTTATAGAGGTGTAGTGAAAAGAGTGTGTTGTATAAGGTTTATGGTGTGAGAGGGTTGATGGTTTGAATCTCCACAAGAGCTAATGAGTGTAATATTTTTTTTTTCACATCTAAATGTTATTAATCACACTTAAAAGGTGTGATCTAAATAATTTTAATTATACTTAAAATGTGTGATCTAAATGTTATTAATCACACTTAAAAAGTGTGATTAAAAATGACCCCTTTTAATCACACTCCCAAAGATCACACTTTAATAAAACTTAAAAGGTATAATTAAATAACTACATCACACAAAAAAAATGTGATCTTTATTTGTTTTTGTAATAGTATTTAAACATTTTGTGTAAATCAAACGTATTTATAGTTTATGTTATTTTAAAAATAAATAAAAATTAATTTATAAAAATTTTATAAATATAAATTGAAAATGTAAACGTTATCAAACAGGCAGTATTCCTGCTTTGAAGTTGATGTACAAAATATGCATATCACAAGGTGAGAAAATTGTTTGATTTATATAACCATTTTTCTTCTTTTTTGCGTTCTTTTCGTGGTTTTCATAATTTTTTTTCTTTCTTCTACGGAGATAGAGATAGTGTGACAGCACTGTTTAGTGCAATTTGTTACAAGTCAAAAATTAACAATAAAAAAACAAAAGTCAAAAGCAATTTGTACATATTTTCAAAATAAAATAAGTTATAAAATAAATTATAAACAACTTAAATAAGCTGCACTAAATAATTCCAATGTAAGATTGAATTGAAGATAAAATGTTTGAAAGTAAGAGCATATATCTGTAATCGTTGGATAGATAAAGAGTAAGTTATTACTATAATTTAATAATAAATAGTGTTAAAATATAGGGAAATTAGTTTCCGATGTCATTCTTTAAAAATAATTACTAACTCATGAAAAAATTTATAACACTAGTAATTAGAGTTTGTAAACTTTATCATTAATTTAATTTTATTCATTTATTTATTTATTTTTTACAAACACTGAACAGTTATTTCCTCTTAAAATATTTTATTTTAACAATCTTACTCTAATGGTATAATGTAAAAAAAAATTAGGCTGTATTTGGTTTAACTTTCTAAAACTAATTCCATCCTTACATTCTAATGTTATGTTTGGTTTGAGTTTTCAAATCAGGATTTCAAATCAATTTTAAAAAACATTTTCAAAAACATGTTTTGTAAACCAAACAATTTTTAAATTTTTGATCTACCCGGACATTCCGGCCAGTTGTCCCCTCAGTTGACCGGAACAATACTCTCTTTTTTTTTTACTTCTTTTTTTTTTCCTTTTTTTTTTTTGCAATTGCCAATAGCCACCTCTTATTTGGGGGGAGGGAGAAATTATATTTGTTTTTGATATTTTTTGAATATAGAAAATATTTTTTTAGACCAAAATGATAAATTATTTTTTTGAATTAAATTTTAAAAAGAGTTTAGTTAAGAGTTTTAAAAAAAATTCTCAATAGAATTTTGAATTGTATGTTTAATTATGACTTATAAATTTTTCAATTAAGTTTAAAAAAAAAAATTCAAAACTCATAACCAAACAACTTTTCTCATTTTTTGTCACATTAAAAATTCAAAACTCATAACCAAACAAATTTTCTTTTCAAATCATAATTTCAAAACTTACAAACTCAATACAACTCCATTTTCAAATCATAATTTTAAAACTCTATCAAACGTTACCTTAACTTTTCTCACAAAAAGTCAATTAAAATGCCATATATAGGAAAGATATACACACAAATTTTAGCTATGGATAAGCCTTGTGCTATATTTGACACAACATATGCCTTACCATAGTGTGTTTATTATTATCAGTATTATTTTCCTTTATGATTTTGAAAACAAAAACAAACTGTTCAAAAAAATGTATAGAAAATTGTTTCGAATTTTTTTTTTTTTTTTTTCAAACACCCATTTTAACAATTAAAAGAAAACAAAGCTGTCAAATTGTTTCTGAATTTTCAAAAGAAAGAGCCCCAATAGGATTGGTAGGGCTACAGCAAGAAGTGTCTGGGTTTGATTCATCTTGCAGAGAATAAGAGATTCAATATCAGCATCATCAAGACTTATAATCACATCCCAACTTCGAAACAATGGAAGATCTATGGTGTTTAACCATGGAAGAGAGACAGACAAGTTTTTTGCCACAAAATAACTAAACATTAACTTTAATATTATATCCTTTCTAAATAACAAAATTGCAACACCCAAAAAAAGAGACAGATTGAATAAGTTCATACCGATGAGTTTCATTTAGATTTAGATTTTCCTTTGTTCGAAGATGATCCCATTTTGGATGATGTTTTCTTGTAAGGTTTCTTATTTGGTTTCAACTTGCCTGAGGTGGTCGTAGATGAAGACCTCCCTCCTTGATTCCTTCGCTTCTTCTCCCTCTTCACGTTATACATATTAACCGCCTATTTTCAAAGAAAACATTCATGAACACGATACCAAGGCAAACCCATGGAAATAACTCTTTACCTTAAAATAAATAACACTAATAACTTTATTGCATTGAAAAATAATATAATATGACATCAAATTCGTTCAAGAAAAGCCAGATGGGTAGTGATTTAGTTATGAAATGATTTCATTCGACGCCAAAAGGATTGCGCATACCTTTTCAACATCCAGTATCTCATGGGAATGTTTGGAGAACAACTTGCTCAGAATCTTGTCATTTTGCTGCTTCTCTAGAGAACCCATTCCGGAGCCTTCCACAACAGGTAGGAACTGAATGCAAATAAAAAGTGGGAAAGAAAGGTACTGTAAGTAATTGTTGTGAGGTATTGGCACGGTCAGAGATTATAGGGGAGTACTGTGCAAACCTTGCGATATTTCCCTTCATGCTTTGGGGGCTTTTCTCCCAAAAGCTTCTTGTCAAATTTCCCGCCACTGGCTGTTGAAGTTGCTGCCATTCCAGCTACATTTTCAAGTTCGTTTTTACTAGCTTTCCTAGGTGCGGCTTGAGTTCCTGTTATGGGCAGAGCTGTAGCAGCAAGTTGAATGTGGCTGCAGCAAAAAGCATTCAATGTTGTGTTACAACATAAATAAAGACAACAACAACAACAACAACAACAAAGAAGGAAAAATATAAAAATAAAAGAACTTTTGCTGAGCAGGTTCAGAAGTGTTTTCCCTCATAATCACAGATAAAGAGACAATGGGTGTAATATCTCTATATATATTAGAGGAAGTTCATGCTCATAGAAGTCCAAGTATGGGACCTCCAAGAATAACCCTACAGCAAGAACCACAAAATAGTCCCAAGGGGCAACAAGTCTATTCTACTCGAGAAAACCTCCTTGTACCAGATCAGTCAACCAAATGAACCCTTATGTAGGATCTCTCGCCTCACCCAGAAGCAAAAGATCAATGCCACATCAAATATTGTAAAAATTCTAATTAGTTAAAGGGGAAAAAAATAGTTCAACTAACTAGTCATCCTTAATGTTGGACTTCTCAGGCAAGGATGAAGTTGACTGCACTGAAATCAGAATCTAATTGGCTAATGCGAACAAGGTAAGCCAATATTTTTCTGACTGAAGAGATAAAGGTTTCTACACTTGTTATTTGATTGAGACAGGTTGAATTACAGATGATCATATCATGCATTATTCTGATCAAGCAAGTTACATAAAAATCAAATCATTGCACAGACAACAGAATATTTCAAGCTTATGAATGAACAAGGTTCACTAGATAGTCCACAAGGACTCCAGTGTCTTATGAAATGGAACACTAAGTGTCCACAAATAAAATGCAAGAAACAAAACTATCAAAAGAGGCTAGCAGGCATTCAACAAGGAAATAAGATAAGAGATGTTTTCAAACAAGGAAAATTCTTCTGGGATTCCATTCAATGTAGAAACACTACAGTACTCCATAACTGGACAAAATTGATGCTTTTGCAAACATAAAAGAAAATTCGATATGAAATTTCTTCGATTCAAGCAACTAAGATAAAGGGTTAAAGAGCGAAACCTTGGTAGGGCACCAACTTTTGCGGCTTGTTTCAAATTCTGCAAACGATTCTTCTCTTGCTTTTCAACTCGATGCTTCTTTTCTACCCGTCTCTTAGCAAAAGGATCTTCGCCTGGCTCTGAAAGAAGTAACAATCAAGACTATTAGACCTATTGGTATAGTATGACAACATCGTCATCGTTTCACAGAAATGGAGGGACGCTCGTTTGCAGAAGAGAGAAGTTGGAGGGATGAAATGATAATTTGATGTTAATCTTTGATATTTAACATAATATACTGCTTTTCATTGAACATACAGAAATACAAGGCAATAATGGCTTGATGGAAATAGCAATAACAATACAATCAAATATTTACCATCAGTCATCTTCGCCTCGATGATGGGTATATCATTGTCATCATTTACACGATCATAGCCATGGCGGCGCTTCCAAGAATCAGTTTGTTCATCATATGCAAGCTTGCCTTTTTTGCGATTTACTATACCTGCAAGAGATTTCAAAACAAGATAACAAAATGTAGAACTCACAGCAGTAGATCAGTTGGTGTCAAGGTCTCGTTTCCCTTGTTCTGGGCCTTGACATGAAAATTCTTTAGAACTCAAATTTTTAAAGTTCGATGTACTTTATATGAAGCCAAGATTCTAATTGACTAACCTTTCTTTTTAGCAAACAATTCCCATTTCGTAGGAGGTTTTTTCTTTGGCAGCTGATTAAAACAAGAAAGGTTTGAGATAAGCAATCAATCATTGTTGCTAAACATGCAAAAAATAAAAAATAAATAAATAAAGCAGTATCTATTAAAAAAGAGCCAGTAATATTAAAGCAGTATATATATTCTCTCTCAATCTCTCTCACACACCTCTATGGACTGATAAATTTTCATGCGCTGAGGCCACCTTTGAATAGGGATCAAGAAGAGAAAGAACAAAGAATTGCATATCAGTAGAGACACAAGACAGAGATGAGGGCTAGGGTTACATCCTAAATATGGGGATTGCAGTCAATGAAGGCAGATAAATAGTGTAAAAAAGAACCATAAATGAAGGCAATGTAACCTAAGATTTCTCATTCTCTCTTATTCTTCTTTTTCTTCTGTTGTATTTAATTCAACCTTAACCAGGTAGTGGTGGGTCTAGGATTCAAAAAAGGAGGCATGGTAGCAACGACCATGATTGGTGATATTGACAGTGTTGCTACACGTAGGTGTAATAGGGTTGTGCATGCCAAAAAGACCGTAAATTGAAACTGGTTCATAGTTAACCTTGTTCTGTCAAGAACTAGACAGCAGTGGGTGTTTTGGGTCCATAATTAAGGTTTTACCAAACAGGCACAAATAGGAATACATACATATATATATATATATATTGCCATTAGAGTACTGGCTAACACCATTGAGATTAAGCTCCATGTATTATGATTTCAAGAAATCTGTCTGAGGTTGGAACTAGAACATGGGACAAGAAGAATACTAGGAGCAACTTTTTATTTCCAACCCCATATTTCACCACAATTTTGGTCCAAAAATTAATTGAAGATAATATTTCCATTTTATCAGAGAATATAGGAATGACACGGAAATATCTTTATAAAGAAACCCACTGAATCTGTAGAAATCTTGCAGATATGCTGAAGCATCTCAAGGAGTATTTTTATTGTGGAAAACTTTTTGAATTATCTACACATCTCATCTACCAAAGTTTTGTGAGTTCCAATACTCTTCCAAACCAGTGCACCACAGGAAAACTTAATTATAGAACACAACCATAATTAGCAATAGTAAATGAAATCATCAAGGACAATTTCAAAAGCCGATGGCCTTGTGGCCTAGTGGCATCACCTCAACTCAACACTTCCACAGGGAAGGTTGGGGGTTCAAGCCCCAGTAGGGACAGGTGTTTGGGTGGTTTGTAAGGGGTGTTTGGGTGGTTGGGTTTGGGAGATTTGCCTATCAAAAAAAAAAAAAAAAAAAAAAAAGGACACGTTTGTCACTTGCTCTCTCTACCCACAGGCTGATAACAAAACCAACCAATGAACCCATCTAAAAAAAGAGGACACGTTTGTTATGTATGTCATTTTATTAAAAATATTATCTATTTTATTTTATTATTTATTAGATATTAGTTAGTGGTAGGGGTGATGGGATAGTGGTGTAGTGGGTAGTTTTCCTATCCTATAGGATCATGGGTTTAGTGGGTTGTAGGTTTCTTCTATATAAACCAACTCTATTAATGAAAGAAAGGAAGAAGAATATTATCAGAAGCCTTCATTTGTGAAGAATAAGAGGTCAGGTTCTCCTCAATGTGAACCAACAGGAGGTCTTCCCCCTCGAAGTGGATCTTCCCCTATTTCTTTTTATTTTTGTCACTTTTGTTAACAAGAAGTACGTAACAAAGTTCAACAAATGCCAACTCCCATAATTCATCCCACACAACACTAACTAAAAGACCATCCAGTGAAAATGTAAATCTACTATAGGTCTAAAACTCATGTGTGTGTGTGTGTGATCAAACCATACATATGAGAGTGCACTAAACCAAATTGCATGGAAAATGTCATAAAGTTAATGACAAAAAGACATTTCCTGTGACCTACTGTTTTTCAGATAATTAATTGCTAGCCACATTAATTAGGAGAAAGCAATCACAACAATTATTAGTTTCAGTAACAGAAATTAAGGGTTCATTTGGGAAGTGGGTTTTTGACTAAAATATGAGGTGAAAAAAACCAAAATGTTTGGGAAGGACTTTTTGGCTCTTTACGGAAAAATGTGCAAAAAGTAGTGTGAATGAAGAGGAATCTTTGGCCTTGTTTAGTTTGCTTTTGAGAAACAAATTTTGGAGAAAATTTTCCAAAATTTTGTTTGGTTTAGCGATTTTGGAAAAAAATTTCCAAAATCACTTTCTCTCTCCAACACATCAATCAATCACTTTTTCTCTCTCCTCTCTCCTTCTCAATCACTTTTTTTTCTCACAAACATCTACTCAATTACAACAAAATATCAAATTATCTCAAACTCCCATACTCCAAAACTATTTCCAAAATATACAACTAAACAAACCAAAAAAATTTATAACCTCTCCCCAAAATCTTTTTTGAAAATTTATCTCCCAAAACCAAGCCAAACACACCCTTTGACTTTGTAAAGTGAATTTTGTTGTATGAAATGAAAACTTTTTTGACTTTTTTAGTGGCTTTTTGGCTAAAATAGTCACTTGACAAACGAAGCTCAAGTATATGAGAAAAATCTTCTACCAATATACCTCGCAAGGCCATCTTTCCTCCAAAAAAAAATAAGACATTCAGCTAAATCAATTGTGCAAGGAATAAGTATCAACAAGAAGGTGACAATGTGATATAAGCACAAAACTCATAAGCATAGAATCATGAAAGAATACAAAGAAAAGCATACAGGCTTCTCTCTTGGCAATCTTGTAGTTGGTGGAGGCAATGTGACAATGGGGCCATTTGGGTCTTCAGTTGCAGGTAAGTTGAAAAGAGCATCTGCAACTGCTTGAACTAACTTGGTGCTCTTTTCCAGAACCTCCTTCACAAGCTCCTCCCTATTTAAGGGAAAACATATACAGTCAGCTTTCCCAACACCATAAAAGTAACCTACCACATCCAAAAATTCTTGCTTTGAATAACCAGAAACCTCACATAACATATGACCAAACAAAATCCTAGTGCATCAACGTTTCGAAATTCACAACCGATAATTTTTTTATGATGTTAAGTTCAATGTGTTGACCAGCCTAATTCTTATGTTGTATTTTAGTTTTGAAATTGTTAACCTCTTACAAAGACACCAACAAGTACCTTTATAAATAACCACAATTATGGCTGTTTTAGAAGAAGCCTGACACATGCTATCAGAATCCTCTACTGCAACCTGATGCCCAACCATTAAGGAGGTATTCTGTACCTTTCAAGTAACATTTAGGTCAGCCTTATTGCAATCCAAATGTAAAGTCACTCTAAGCAAGTACCTTGTGCACTTTAAAATAAATTGCCTACCAGATCTAAATCTTGCACTTAATATATCTCACATCTTTGAAATTCATGTAAAATAAAAATAAAAAGTGTGTATTCGGTTCTATTGTCAAGAATTCATTAAATTCAAGGTGTCTGAATATTACAACCGCAAAGGTTTTTCATAAGCTTCTTGTGGTTCTTTCATAAGTTTCTTGTGGTTCTTTTCCGTTTTTTCAATAAGGACCATTCCATTCATTGCTTTTTGAACAGAAAATAGAAACATCCTGGTAACAAAAAATAAAAAGAAAAAGAAAATATAAACATGTTTTCAATGTTCCCAAAAAAATAAACTCTATCTGTAAACACTTATTGACCAAATCATCAAGAACTACTAATAATACTTCACCGGGAGTATTCCAAAATTTTAGGAAAACTACTTAACTTTATCTCCACACCGTTTTAACATTCTCAAATTTCTCATTTTTGCAAAATGTAAAATGGTTTATGAAAATATATCCAAATACATTAGGATTAACTTGTTAAATTATGAAACACTTCACAAAAATAAAGAGTGTTGCAGTTTCAATTATCCCACTATAGAGAATTGTTCATCAACTTAGGCTTAATGCGCTTAAGTTAGAAAACAACCAATCATGACTAGTGAGGATTTTCCTAAGAGATCATATCATTCACTTGGTAGCATTTATGACGTAGGACACGATTCTAGAGGTTTCTATATTTTTATTTTAATAGTTTTTAATATTGTATTTAACTAGTATTGTTGTAATTTAAGATAAATATTTAGAATTATTTGGTTTCGTAATTTGAATTTATTTTGTTTTCCTAATTTTAGGTTTCTTGATTTTCAGAATTAGGCTAGTTAGTTATTTCCTAATTTTAAATTTCTTGATCTCCAAGGTTGTTTGGTCTCCAAGTACTAACTTGTTATAAGATAACTATGTAGCCTTGGGCAAAAGAACAATTTTTTGATCAAAAATATTCATAATTCCTCTTCCTCGTAAATTCAAGTTTCTACTTTCTAGTGGATTCAAGAGCCCCTTTCGTCTACTTAGAATGATATTTAATTCCCCGTATATTTTGTTGCGTCAATAGTTTTTCAAATTCATGGCCCGAAATTCAAAAAACTTATGTGGCGCACAAAAAATTTAGTTTTAAACTTGTGCATAATGATTCAAATAGTGATAACAACAAATTAAATCTTCTTATCCATGTTTTCTTCATTCACCCGCTCTTGTCATGTTACCGCCACTACTAAAACTTGTTTATGAAGCTCGTATATAAATCAACATACCTTATTAGGGGTGTTCAAATTACCCAGTGAACTGAAGAACTGAACCGAACCAAACCGACATCGTTGGGTTGGGTTGGGTTGAGTTGGGGTGGGTTGGTTTTTAAGTGCATTGGTTTGGTTCTAGATTTTCAAATTATCAACCGATAGGATTTAGTTAGTTCTTATTTTAGGTCTTGCCTAAACCGAACCAATCTGAGAATCGAACCTATATATATATTTATACTTAATTTTATTTATTATTGACATATCTTCTTAATTGGTCTATTATAATAGAATTGATTACACCTAATAATTTCCCACATACAAGAATTATTAGGTGAACAAAGAAAGTACTACAAGTTTAAGTTAGATTTCATATTTGATTTAATTTGTATTGATTGTATTAATGGATTTAATTTGTATTAGTTATGTTTAAGCTTGAGTTGGATTAAATTTTATTGACTTGCAATAAATAATATTTTACTCTTTATTTTTGTTATGTTTAAACGTTAAAGATTTGTTTATTTTAATTATTTATTATTGATCGATTCATTTATTTTTAATATAGTGGAATCGTGGTTCTAACCCGAACCTACCTGAGTTACATTAGGTTAGGTTGAGTTGGATCCAATGCATGATTAGTTTGGTTCTAGGTCCAAAAACTTAGAACCAATCATGATTCGGTCGGTTCTACATTTAGAACCAAACCGACCCATGAACACCGCTAGTTATAGCCGTAGTAGTAACATGACAAGATTGGGCGAATGGCGAAAACAGAGTTGATTTAATTTGTTTGCTACCAGCCTACCACAATCACAATCTAAACTGTTATTCTCAAGTTTAAAATTAGATTTTTGTTGCGCTGCACATGCACAAGTTTTTGAATTTCAGGCCACAGATTTGAAGAACTATTGACGCAGCGAAATACATAAAGAAATAAATATCATCCTAGTAGATGAAAGGGACTCTTGAATCCAAGAAAAAGTAAAACCTTGAATCCACAAGAGGAATTATGAATATTATTGATCCAAAAGCTATTCCTTTGCCCTAAGGCTACATACCTATTTATAATAAGTTAATCCTGACATATGGCTTTAAAAAAAAAAATTATTATTTGAGCATGTGAGGCCTCATCAACATCATTTTTTAGACCCAAAAAAATAACTTTTTTTTTTTTGTTGTTTAGGAGTTTTGCCCATTACTAAGGTCTTTGCTTAATAGAACAGTGTATATATTATTAAGGGTCCTAAAAACTTGAGGGGCCTATGAAACTTTAGATGGTTATCTAACTCGCATAATGGACAAGCCACCCATGGCAGCTGAATGCATATGCACACCTTATACAAACACACACACACACAAATATATACCCATTTGCATACAGTCCATCCTACTAGATTATACATGTGTGAATATGAATTGCCCTTATATAAAAACATATTGTGCAATTATCAGTAAATTATTTTCAAAGCTCCAACTGGCATCAGAATGTAAATGATTTCTTTCCATTTTGGTTTAAAACTAGAAGACGAACATACATGCGTATGTATGTGCACAAATTCAAATCTACCATTTTGTTTCATCTATTGGAAAGCAAAAAAGAATCTGAAGCGTATTGTCCCAAAAATTTGCATTTTTTTGTTCCTTCACTAGAATTTTTCAGAGCAAACAAACAGATTACAGTGAAAAAGGAAAAAAAAAAAAAACAATTGAAAAGAAAGAAAAACAGAAGCCTCACCTGGAAGAGGGAAGAGATGGGAAGTGGTGGTGAGGGTCGAAGGCCATGAGATTGCCGAGGTCGATCTGATACTGTTGTTCCGCCATCTCTCTCTCACTCTACCAGCTTGAGAAGCTCTCCGTTTATGGCTATCGCTAGACCTAGAATCGAATCAAAGAGACGACTAAGCCGTACCAATTTCTCAACAGCAAGAGAACGATGAGCGAGAGAGAGAGAGAGAGGGGTCAGTTTTCCTGAAACCCTAAAATCTCTTCCCAACGAAGGGTTTTAGAAATTTAAACCCTAAATTACACTTGACTCCCTGTGGTTTCAAAAAAATATATTAAATTCCACATTTTTAATATAATTTACATAAATTCTCCTCTTTGAGAGATTTATTTATAAATTTCATTTAGAGAATTTATAAGCCAATAAGTTCATAAAATATTCCTATATTTCACTTATGAATCTCATACATTTGAATTTACATTTCAATAGCTCCTTTTTCCATATTATAATTATTACGTTGATTAATTTACCTTTATAAACTTTTATTATACCATAAAATTATTATTAGTTATATTTCATTTATGATATATATAAAATATTGTATATAAATATAGAAAATTATTATTCTTAGTATTTTCTTTGCCTCAATATGAGGGACTCACTTGATCAAAGATCTTCATTCACCATTATTTTACAATAAGGTCCTGCCATGGAAGAACATTTTAAAGAGAATATTAGTTATATATGTAGACCAATGATAGGGATGGTGATAGATTTGCAACAGAGATTATGGTAAACCGACGATGAATAATCTTTTTTTTTTCCCCATTGTTACACATAAATCGTTGTGGGGATATATTTTCTGAAAACCAACACGTGGCATGGTGACACCGACGTGTCAGCCGAGGTGCCACGTGTCCTGGTCGTAACGCCGAGATGATCTTAGCGAGGCCGAGGTTAACTCCGAAGATATCAGAATCCGAGATAAGCGAATAAGGGACAAGAGTCCTAAGACGAAGAGGGGACTTAACCAAGATAAGGATAAAGCTCTTAGGGAGTTTATCTTTATCTCTTAAAGAGTCCAAAGTAAGCACTAAATTGGAAGTTCATAGAAGTCATACTTCTAGTAGGACTTGGATTGAATAGATTATAAAAAAGAGGCACCCCCGTGGGTCTAAGGTATGCAATTTATGTTTTGAGTATTAAGTCTAGCACTTGATTATCTTTGAGAGATATACTGACTTGATCGTCGGAGTGCCCCTGGGTGGAAGAACCACCGCCGGAGCCTTTTCCTTCTGTTTCAGGTTGCTGAAGCCATCTATTCTGCCTGTGCTCTCCAGTTGATTTCTAAGCAGGCAGTGTGGTCAGATTTTCACCCACACAATTTGGCGCCGTCTGTGGGAACGAAGGAAGAATAGTTGGCCAGTAACGGACAGCAGGAAAATATTGGGGATGACGCTCCCGCTGGGAGTGGCAGACCAATTGACCTTGACATTGAAGGAGACAACCACAATACAGAAGCCCGCGACCAGGGTCACAGAGAGAACGACGTCATCCCAGAAGGCGACACGTCAAAAAAGACAAACCAAGGAAAGTACTACAATGAAGATAACCTCCAGGTATGGAGGGACAGATTGCCACGGAGAGATGAGGAAATAAAAGAATTGGCGAACAAGTTGGCAGACCTTCAGTCAGTCGTCAACTTCATGATGCAGATAATTGTTATGCAGCCACCATACCCGCTGCAAGATACACCGATGCAGCAACCAACACCCAGAAAGGCTGGAGAAAAACAATCCCCGCGTCCCTCAGCCATACCAGGAGCGGAAGGCATTCTTCACCGGCCTTCAAGGGAGGTCGGGCGTGGAAAGCCAGGAAAGGAAGAGTCTCGGAAGACACATTGTGCTAAAGAAGCAGATCCCAGAGAACATAGGCATGTTCACAGACAAGAGTTGTGCTTCGACACAACTCATGGAGAAGGGTCGAAAAGGGCTCACCACGAGGCCGAGAGTAGTATACCGAAAAGACTGAAGTCGAAAGATAGCCGAGCTCCTGGGCGAAGCAAAGAAGACTTAAGAGATTACCTCAAGAGGAAGCAACAGAATGCCGACACCGAGGTAACCTCCCCAGATAAGTCGAGGACACCATTCTCGGTAGAATTGGACAAATTTGAGGCGCCGACGAGATTCAGTATGCCGAGGTTTCAAATTTATGATGGTAAGTCAGATCCAAACTTTCATGTTGGACTATACTTGAATTCAATGGCATTATATAGCGGGAACGAGCCGCTGCTCTGTAAAGTATTCCCCTCATCCTTTGGGGAAATTGCATCTGATTGGTTCCATAAATTACCAAAGGGAAGTGTAAAGACATGGGAAGGCCTGGCCGAGATGTTTGTGGCCAGGTTCGTGACCAACAAGCTGCAACCCCTGAGGGTTGATGCTTTGATGGCTCTAAGAATCACCAAGGAAGAAGGCCTTAGGGCCTATGCGAAGAGGTACTACGAGGTGTTCAACCGAATACCCGAATGCAACCAAGAGGTAGCGGTCGTGTCTTTCAAGAATGGCCTGAAAGATGACTGCCCACTACGGAAGTCTTTGGCCAAAACATTGCCAAAAAGCATGGAAAAACTCATGGCAAGAATTGAGAAATACGCCAGAGCCAAAGAAGATACATCGGGAAACAAAGAGGTAAAGCAAGAAAAGGGAAACGGCTCACCGAAGCGAAACCGAGGCAACAATGGGCCGACCAAACAAGAAACAAAGTTGAGAAGTAAACAGGCGGTAACGACGGTATTCCGAATCCCAATCCATAAAGTCCTAGATCAAATTCGAAACCAACCTTATTTCAAGACTCCGGCAAGAGCACCAGGGGAATTCATGGGAAGGAACGTTGATAGACGTTGTGCCTACCACAATGAAGAAGGGCACCCAACTCAAGGTTGCAGAGCCTTGAAAGCACACTTGGAGGACCTGGTGAGACAAGGCCTTCTGAGGGACCTGGTCGATGAAGCCAGGACAAGGGAAGAACAGGCAAGGTTGCCTCAAGCACCAGCAGCACCGCCTCCCCCAGCACAGCTGCCACAAGCAGGAGGACCGAGGGTGGTCAATGTGATCCACTCAAGGGTCAACGAAAACGAAGTCAGAGGGAAGACCCAGAGAGTAAGACATTTACAGCATGTCTACCAAGTCGGAGAGAAGAGACGTCGGCCAGAAGAATGCCAAGGGCCGGTGATAGCCTTTACTGAAGCCGACCTGGAATTGGTCCAACATCCGCATAATGATGCCTTGGTAGTATCCTTCCAGGTTGGGGAGTGCCAAGTAAAACGCATCCTAATAGATCAAGGCAGCTCTTGTGACATCATGTATGTCAGATGTTACAAGGAGCTGGGCCTTCACCCTGATGACTTAGAACAATCCAGCGGCCCGATGGTCGGCTTTAATGGAACGCCGACATGGCCACTGGGCGCAACAAGCTTGGAAGTACAAGCCGGCACTAAGAAGATCAAGACAGAATTTCTGGTAATTGACACGCCCTCACCATACAACATCATCTTGGGAAGGCCGTGGTTACATGCAATGGGGGCAGTTCCCTCAATGTTGCATCAGCTACTACGGTTCCCAACAGAGCATGGGATTGAAGAAGTCAGAGGAGATCAACTACAAGCAAAAAATTGCTCCATGGCAGCAATGAAGTCCACCTGTAGTATATGGGAGCCAAGGAAAGCAAAAATTGAAGATGAGGACATGGAGGTCCTAGAAGACGTCGGGAAAGAACCAGCAGAAAAGAGCGAAGAGGCGCTAAAAAAAGTTTTCGTCCAGGAGGGCGACGAAGAGCGCTTCTTTCTTCTCGGCTCAGGCTTAGCTAGAGAAGTTTAACACTTGTTATGTTAATCCTTGTCGATCCCTGTTACAGTATATGTTAATTCTTGTTGAAATTCGTAGCAATTTACAAATAGATTATTGTTTAACACTTGTTATGTTAATCCTTGTCGATCCCTGTTACAGTATATGTTAATTCTTGTTGAAATTCGTAGCAATTTACAAATAGATTATTGTTTAACACTTGTTATGTTAATCCTTGTCGATCCCTGTTACAGTATATGTTAATTCTTGTTGAAATTCGTAGCAATTTACAAATAGATTATTGTTTAACACTTGTTATGTTAATCCTTGTCGATCCCTGTTACAGTATATGTTAATTCTTGTTGAAATTCGTAGCAATTTACAAATAGATTATTGTTTAACACTTGTTATGTTAATCCTTGTCGATCCCTGTTACAGTATATGTTAATTCTTGTTGAAATTCGTAGCAATTTACAAATAGATTATTGTTTAACACTTGTTATGTTAATCCTTGTCGATCCCTGTTACAGTATATGTTAATTCTTGTTGAAATTCGTAGCAATTTACAAATAGATTATTGTTTAACACTTGTTATGTTAATCCTTGTCGATCCCTGTTACAGTATATGTTAATTCTTGTTGAAATTCGTAGCAATTTACAAATAGATTATTGTTTAACACTTGTTATGTTAATCCTTGTCGATCCCTGTTACAGTATATGTTAATTCTTGTTGAAATTCGTAGCAATTTACAAATAGATTATTGTTTAACACTTGTTATGTTAATCCTTGTCGATCCCTGTTACAGTATATGTTAATTCTTGTTGAAATTCGTAGCAATTTACAAATAGATTATTGTTTAACACTTGTTATGTTAATCCTTGTCGATCCCTGTTACAGTATATGTTAATTCTTGTTGAAATTCGTAGCAATTTACAAATAGATTATTGTTTAACACTTGTTATGTTAATCCTTGTCGATCCCTGTTACAGTATATGTTAATTCTTGTTGAAATTCGTAGCAATTTACAAATAGATTATTGTTTAACACTTGTTATGTTAATCCTTGTCGATCCCTGTTACAGTATATGTTAATTCTTGTTGAAATTCGTAGCAATTTACAAATAGATTATTGTTTAACACTTGTTATGTTAATCCTTGTCGATCCCTGTTACAGTATATGTTAATTCTTGTTGAAATTCGTAGCAATTTACAAATAGATTATTGTTTAACACTTGTTATGTTAATCCTTGTCGATCCCTGTTACAGTATATGTTAATTCTTGTTGAAATTCGTAGCAATTTACAAATAGATTATTGTTTAACACTTGTTATGTTAATCCTTGTCGATCCCTGTTACAGTATATGTTAATTCTTGTTGAAATTCGTAGCAATTTACAAATAGATTATTGTTTAACACTTGT